TCTTAGAACTGTTGACATGTGGATTACAGCAGTTTCCTGGTTTAGTGTGTAGTGAGTAAAAACCTTATGGATTAGAGTAGCTGTCAGCATGATGATTGATGATGGCACTATTGCATGTTTGCATCTCCATAGACAGCATTGCAAATCAGGTGCTAATGTTTCCTGTCTGCATTACCCCAATATTGGATTGTTGTGTGCTACACTAGTACCCTGTCCACTCCATCTTGTTGACACACCCTCATTTCGTTTTGTCTCCGTATTCATACTATCCCTTTGAATTTACTCACTTCAAACTGTGCTGTTGTTGGTCCTCACAATTTGAGTACTTTTTTCAATAACTTTTTGTCCTGATAGTCTCCCACCTCACATCACACCATTTTGTTACAGTCGAAGAGGACCAGCAGTCAGCGCTATCGCCCAAAAAGAAGCAACGCAATGGAGGCATGAGGAACTCCCCGAACTCCTCTCCTAAGATAATGAGGTATGACACCAGAGTACAACAGAGAACATCTCGGAAAAAGTGCCCCGATTTGCATGGAAACCATGGCAGGCTTTGGCAGGTACTCTTTGCCACACGGTTTCATGTGACACCCAGAGACTGCAGCTCTTAAACAGGCCTGGCACTAATGACAGCGCCAGGCGGCGAGAGAGGCTTTAAAGGATAGATAGCCCAAGGCTATTCATCTATTGTCGGATCCCTCTGAGGACTTTTCAGCACGTTAAGGCCACAGATGATATGTATCACCACAATGAAAGCCGAATTCAAATGCTACCTTGCTTTTATCTTGTCTCGTGAAATTAAATCAGCGTTTCTTGATCTTGACTGGAGATAACACTGCTATTCAACAAAGGCCCCTCACAAGAATGATCAAAATAATAATAGTCATTTTCATTAAGTGCCATGCTATAAGGAAGCCATGCAACAGGGACAATCTGCAGTCAACACAAAGTGATACTCTACAGATGGGAATTAATTAAAACTGACAGATGACTTTATGTTCCCATCATAAATGTGGCTGCTATTTGTTTGACATATGGAAACCAAGCCCACATGTCTTTAATGTTTACAACTGTAAGATACAGAACAGATCAGCAATATGCAGTGGTTATGAAAAAGACTTTGTTGTATTATGAATAAGTGTCCATATGCATCAGGAGGCATTTCCTTTTGATCTGTTTTTTCAGGTGTTTGATTTGCTTCAAAGTGGTGTTCAAGTTGAACTGCTGCAGGTGATTTCCAGACTCTGGGGTAACAAAAGCAGGCTCTCCCAGTGCTATAGCCAACAGCTAAATATCAACCCACCAAACCAATCCATCTACTTGCCACGCTAATACACTGCAATGCAGGTGGATGCGTTATTCCATTCAGGGCCTGCTGCCTAACCGTAGAAAGGGATTCACTGTGGTAGCCTAAGGGATACTTCATTGCAACAAGCAGAATAAAAAACATCTGGGTGTATACTATATCAAATGTGTTTTTACAGGACCTGCGGCCTCAAGGCCTTCGTAAATAAGTAATGATCAACAGATTGGCTGTGGGTTTTGAAGAGCAGGTCTTTGTCAGTTTACATGATGGGAGGGTTTTCAAAGACTTTTCCAGCACCCGGTGCTTGTGTAAGCTTTAGCAAACCAGCGCAGGGATGCTGAAATAGAGGATATACATAATGTGCTTGTCTGCTATTTACTTCTCAGCCAACATTACATTCCTCCAGAAGACACCTGGCCTTATGTTTTGCAGTCGCGATGTGTAAAAGTCCTGTCAAAACGGGTTACAATAAAACCAAAGTGGTGAATTCCGCTGCCAATCAGAAGAATAGAGATATGACGCCCACAGACCAGTCAGCACTGTACCATAAGGCAAACCACCAAGAAAAAAAAAGTGATCACATGTTTCCAAGAGACAGTTACGCTACTATTTCAAGCAAACTAACAAGTCCTGTCTGGAGCTTAGCAATGACTACCTCACTGAAATTAACACCATTTCCACAGGCTCCTTGATGGGTCATAAGACACATCTAACTGTGGGATGTCAAAACATGTTTGGTCACATCGAGCGCCTTGACATACACGTCATGTCTGCTACAGCACTGCTGAGGCAATTGTCTGTGTGGGATAGTGACGGGCCGTCACGGCTGACAGTGAGCGATAGCCATCCTGGCAGAGCTCTGCCTCACCAGTCTTCTGCACAAGGACGAACCAAAGTGACAGTGGCTCAACGAATGATTACAGGAACATTTGACTTTTGATTAAATATTTAGCTGAGGTGTAAAACCTCTAATTGTTCCACCCTGATTAGAACTCGGGGAGAAGCTGATAATTCAGTAGAGTACAATGCAAGTGATAGTGGAGGATTTTTGACTATGTAAAATTTTGGTTAATTCATTTTCAGTCTCTAGCTTCACAGTTCACCTCAACTGTAATGGAATTTATTCCAATTGTGTGATTGCTTGGTACTTTCAAAACAATATTTGGAATAATGAATTGATAATCAAAATATTTAACAGATTAAATAACTAGAAATCATGACCTGTTAACTGAAATGTTTAATTTACCAACAGGAAAATAAAAGTGCTCCTGTATTTTACTCACTTACTGTTGGGGCCGAATTTAAACATTCCTAACTGAAAGTCCATAGTTCAAGACAAATGTATTCTTTTGCCATAATGATATGTCATATTTGCGTTTTATAAATCTCAGCTCTTATTTGCACAAGCCTAATATTCACTCCCATTTTCATCCATAATTGAACAAAAATAACACCTTATGTCATTTGCATGTAAAACAATATGGACATTATAATTACAGAATGTATGATAGGCACACATTTTTACCCAATATTCTTTCTTTATGTGTACCACACTATATTTTGAAAATGTGAACACATCACACACATCTGAATATACAGATCATTAATCTGAAATCTGAATTAATCAGGAGACAAAGCTCTAAACCAGACACTGTTGTGCACAAAAAAATGTGTCTTGTGTCTACACTTTTAATAAAGTAAGTATTTCTTTCGCTTTTTTAAATATTGCTTTTCATTACTTTGTTGTTTGTGGGGGTACTTAATATTGATATATATGCAACACAATTATCGCTCAGCTACTGTACTTTTAAATAAAAAAGATCATTCATTGAAGAGCAAAATTCAATGCACACACATTGTGTATTGTCAAAAGTCATTTGCATCCTGAGATCAGAATCAGAGAGCTAGAAAGTGGCAGAAAAGACAATTTCTTATCAAGCTACTTCTGTTCTTGAAGGGACATCCAGGTCTTGCCTGAGGGTATGTGAGCCCAAAGGCAAGTCTTTTTGGCTTCAGTCTCTTACAGCCTGAGGGATGATAGATTCAACTGACACTTTCATGCATACTTAACATGTTACTTAAGGTGGCATTCTTTTAGAGTACTCACATAGATTAAAGGCATGGTTCTCTTACGGGGAGAAGACTTTAGTAATTTAAAGGTTTTGGACTCAGACAGAAGGCCGCTGTCTTAGTTTCCAGAGGATAACATCTTTAAGCGTGATCTGAATCTGACAAAGTCGATTTAATGTGAAAGGAATTGTGCTGGCTAGGTCATAGATGTCTCCTACTGTGCTGGTCTTGTGTATTTGATGCCAAATTGTCATTTTTTTACTTTAAATTGCTGCTTTTTTCTGTGTACATTTTCTTAACAGTTTGGGGGGATGATTATGATTAGGCTGCATTCATGAATTATTCCAAAGATATTTTAGTTAAGATTTCATGCAAATCTTTGAATCTTTTGAATTGTATATAGTCTTATTATGTTCATAACTTAGTCTACAGTTACAGTTCTGTAATTATACATCAGTGCTTAAAAAAATTAGTTGACCATAAGGGGTCACACTGTACGATCTAGCTGCATGTACACATGTTACAAATACTCATGTTGCGGTCAGTTCTGGATGGATTGAAGCTCACCGCTACATCCAGCAAAATGAGTTTATATATTTCTGATGGTCTGTTTAAACATTAATACTCTTCACTTTGGAAAGCAAATATGGTTGGGCAAATTGCTGAAATATTTAGAGTCTGGTCTGTTAAAGCTTTTACCTCGCAGCACACAACATCAAAAGCTGTATGCAGTAAGGGGGCGTAATTGCATCTCCTTGCTCATGCCAGTCAACACAGTGTGTTGCTGCCATCTCCTTCTGCCTGATTGCTGCTGCTGATGTTGCTCTGCTTGATGGCATGGCAGCTTTGTTGGCATTTGTGCAGATGGCCTCTGACAGCATTGAGCAAATAGAAATAAAAAAAAGCCCGGAAAAAAACTTACGTTATGAGAACAAGTGACCTTTTTGTAAATTTGAAATAATCCGTCGATCTTTTTGTGAATGTTTAAAAACATTAAAAAACTCTAAAAACATTGTTATTTTGAAATAGAGTATATGCATTTAAAAAAATACGATAAAGCTTTACCTCTTGCTTTGTCTTCCATCAGACATGACCCACTCCTCATCCCAGGCAACGAGCAGATAGAGACCATGGACGAGAACATAAAGAAATACGATTCCACAGGGATGTTTCACTGGTGCCCATCCAAAGACATCGAGAAGGTCATCCTGGTGGGTTGTGCCTTTTCATTCGGCTCGCGTCATTTGTCCTTGACGCTTTTTGTCCTGCTGACAGATGTGCTATGTGACAAAGCACCATTGGAGGTTGACAGGGCACTTAAACACTTTGTAATGAGGTGCTTGACACGTCATTTGCAACATATCTTGTACTAATACATATGCCGTTTTTCAAATTACTTTCGTAGTCTTTTACCATCATTAGCTGCATGATATATTTTACAGGCCGAGTGAAAAAGGAAAAGCACTAACATTTGCCAGAAGGCCAATTAATACCAAATTCCTATCATTAAAAGATTTCCCTCCTTTTCTTTCCCTGACAGACACGCAGTGAGGCTGCCATGACTGTTCTGAGTGGTCATGTGGTTGTGTGCATATTTGGAGACGTGAAATCAGCTTTGATTGGACTCCGGAACTTCGTAATGCCCCTGAGAGCAAGCAACTTTCACTACCACGAACTGAAGCACATCGTGTTTGTGGGGTCCCTCGAGTATTTGAAGCGGGAGTGGGAAACTCTTCATAATTTCCCAAAAGTCTCCATTCTGCCTGTAAGTAGAGGAAAATCAGTCATATCAAAGCTTTGCATATTATCATATGCATTATATTTAACTTTTGATGCAACAGATGCATTTTGTTTAAAAAAAAAAAAATGCTAGTAAAAAAATTTCACTCTGAATATTTGTTTCTTCTCAAAACTGGAAGTGGTCCGTACAAGAGCATCTGTTCCTTCCACCTTTCGTGGCTATACTTGCTATGCATTTAGCTGATGTAAAGTTTGAGGTTTTTGGTAAATATTGAGAAAGCATACCCCTTTTAAATATCAAATTAAAAGCTCAATATTTCTTAAACCATTTTCTTCAGTATATTGCTTCTTAACCATTTTTTGCTGTTCCTGTGCACTGTATATAACACAAAAACAAGAAAGTCTCAAGTTTGAGAACTCTTCATCTCTTCTATCGCAAGGTGTGATAATAAACTTTACCTTTCATTTCTTCCAAAAGGGCACACCGTTGAGTAGGGCAGATCTGAGAGCTGTCAACATCAACCTCTGCGACATGTGTGTCATCCTGTCAGCCAATCAGAACAATATTGACGATGCATCACTTCAGGACAAAGAATGCATCTTGGCGTCACTCAACATCAAATCCATGCTGTTTGACGACAGTATTGGGGTCTTGCAGGCCAATTCTCAAGGTAAAGATGCCCTATCATAGTTCACTGCTCTGCCTGGAAGGGACAAGGCCCTGGCACAGAGAATATTCCTCACTGGGTGCTGCCTGGCTGACCTGTTGTTGTTGGATTTGACAGTAAACCTTACTGACTATTCCTCAGGTTACTGTAACAGCTGGTTTCCTCACAAGCTTCGTTGGTAGCCACATGTACATCCGAAATCCCCCAAAATTGCCTTGGATGACTGTAAAAAAAAATGCTCTAGTTATTAATATTGTATGCTACGGCATTCTAAATGACAACTGAAGCACTCAGTTAGCGTCAGATGGTCCTCAGTAATGGTCATTGTGTAGCATTAAGAGAAATGCTTTTAGAAACCTTTTGACCTAAAGAGAATAAAAGAGAATAGACAAAAGCTGCCAATTTAATTATTTCTGTAATACATGTATGGCTTCACATTTGCCTTATTTGGCACAGAATGATGGATGTCAAAGCACAGCCTATGCATTATACATGTAGAATCAGTGATTTAATGTGCCTACATGTCAGTATGGAGAAAGAAAAGACTTTCAAACCAGTCTGAGTACAATCTTTAATTATTTTTTTCTCCTAAGTGAATCGGTTCCATACTGTATATGAATGCATATATGTATGTATAAAAGGTCTACCGACTTTGGAATAATGGGCTGGGGGTTCAAATCCCAGCTAGGGCAACTATCCACTAAGGCTACATATATGAATATATATGGTATCCAGCTGATATGAACTACATATGAACTGCTATGACATGTACTACAGGTACATATGTATGTCTGGCAGCTGGATAGTGTAGTCTACCTTGATACATGAGTGAGAATTATTGAAGTCATACCTGTTTGGAAGTCGCTCAAATTAACTACTTCTGCATCAGTTGTTGGGAATTGGCAGCAACACCGGAGGGGCAAAAGACCAGCTCCTGGAATTTACTGATGTTCTGCATAGTCGTGAACCTGCCCAGCCTGAGCTACAGTGCTGGATGGACGACACTAAGCTGCATGCAAGGAACTAGGATTTAGATAAATATTTATATAATATATACTTATATATGGTAATTGAACAAATTAGTCATTGAGTTGCTGCTTTACAAGTGGATGTGAAATTAATAAATTGAGGTGATGAATAATTTCTGCTGGATTGATCCCCTAAAGAAGTACTGAACTGCTTTAATAAATATGACTTATGTAATGTTTGTGTCCCTCAAGGCTTCACACCACCAGGCATGGATAGATCTTCTCCCGAAAACAGCCCAGTCCACGGTTTAGTGAGACAGACCTCAGTCACAACTGGAGCAAATATTCCAATCATAACAGAACTAGGTATGATACTTGCTGTATGTTTGTGTCAAATAACTGATATGCTCTTCTAGCTGCAGCATGTTTTTGTTTTAGGTCCTTTTATGCAGACATTTAAACAATTCTGGTTATACGCTGTTGATTCTTTTTTAACAAAACTAAAAGTTGAGCTTTTGTGTGTGTTTATCCCTTGTTGACATGTTCCAGTAACTGTTTTTCCTCAACACTTGTCTAGCACCATTAGCAAAGCCAGGCAAAAAACTGCCTGTGATTTCAATCAGTCAGGATAAAAGCAGTGGGACCAACATACAAATGATAACTGAGCTGGGTAAGAAGTGCCTGTGTCCCGTACTGCAGTGTTGTAACTGCTGCTGCTGCCTCCACATCAGCTTTCTTTTGATTTTCTCTCGCTGCACAAGAGGCTCAGCCCATTCCCATGGCATCACTTTGAGCACATTTTACCCTTGGTTCTGGTTGAAATTGCCTGTCTTGTTTTGGCCCCTTTATCTCAAAGCAAAATTTCTCCCTTTTATTTTTCTAAGAATTGCAGGGCCTTTGATCCCCCAGAAGTCCTTGTGGCTGTTTTCATAGCATCTTCTGTTGGATCACATTTTATGGCCAGTGTCCTTCTTTCATCTTAGATCTGTCGATATGACTGACATTTATTTCTGTCCTCACAGAAGGAGCAGTTCTCCAACTACATTTTACATCATGACTTTCTTCCAGTTACTGCATGTGTTTCTGTGCTCAAATCCATCTTTAAATAAGGTTCTGGGGCAATGGTATGCTTTTATTTGATCTGACACACAAGTACATGTAATTTGAAGTCCTGTCTTGGATTTACAAGACAAACAACAGTATATTGGGTTTACTGATACTGAACTTATATAGGATTCGAACTGAGGCCTGGAACTTTGACAATATGCATGGTGTCATGAGTGTGCATGGATGGCCTGGATATGGAATGTGGCAGAGGCAAGTAGTCCAAATGATTGAATACAAAAACTAGAAACTGTGTCATTGCAGTTCAATTCAAAAGACAAGAATTTACCAAATTTGCCAAAATAAATTGAGAACATGTCAGAACATATACATATTCCAAAAACAGTCCATATCTTCAGGTACTGCCTGTTGTGCACAACCGCTGTGTGTCCTTTTCACGTGAATCAAGCCTGACCAATGCTTTTGCAAATAAGAAAACAATTCCATGCAATCTGCTTTCAGTGTGCACAAAACAAACAAGCAGATGTTATAAATATCATTCATTACATGTATGTTTGCCTCCACAGTAAATGACTCCAACGTTCAGTTCCTGGACCAAGACGATGACGATGACCCGGACACAGAGTTATACCTCACTCAGCCTTTCGCCTGTGGGACAGCTTTCGCGGTCAGCGTTCTGGACTCTTTAATGAGTGCAGTAAGTCGGAAACAATTAAGCCAACAGACAAAGCTGTGAATATAATGAGATTATGATAAAGCCATGATCTGAAAAATGCAAAGATATATTTTACAGTAAGTTACCTGCATGAGGTGTATTTTATCTCCAACTCCCACTGGATAAAAAACACTATCCAGTTAAAACCATAAATGACTAGAATCAAACCTGTACAGGCATAATGGCCTCATTTGTTTGCGTTTCAGTTTGATTGAGGCTAGAACAAAGCTGCCTTCAAGTGCGCTTCAGTGTAGAGAAAGGTAATGCTACCTAATGGACAGTCCTCATCTATCATCTAAGTCAATAGTGCTGTCAGCAGCCAAGAGAGATGTCACAGTGCTCTACAGGCTACGGAAGACAAGAGACTCGATAGAAAAGAAAAAGGCTGGGCATGTCTCAATGTTACAAATGCAAAACAACTGCTTGTTGGTTTTCTCAACCAATAAGAACCCAGAGTGTAATAGGTGTAACAAACAATTTAAACTCAAATCCAAGATGTAGTAACCTGTGAAAATCACAGATCATCGACATTTGACGGTGGTGGTTATTTGCTTATTTATTTTTGTTTGCGTTTATGTGATCTGTGGGGCCCATTTGGGCCACTTCCTCCAAAAAAAAGGTTATTTTTTAGAAAGAAATGGGTCTGGGTTTTAATGGGTTAGGGATTAATCCTCTTTCACTTTATTCCTCCAGACATACTTCAATGACAATATCCTCACTCTGATCCGGACGCTGGTAACAGGCGGGGCCACGCCGGAGCTGGAGGGGCTGCTGGCCGAGGAGAACGCGTTACGGGGTGGTTATAGCACACCACAGACCCTGGCGAACAGGGACAGGTGTCGCGTGGCACAGCTGGCCTTGTACGACGGGCCCTTTGCTGACCTTGGGGTAAGTCAGTGGCCTTGTCACCCAGGGGCTAAGGTCACCTCCGTCCACTTGCATTAGAGAAGCTGTCTTCACTCAGAACATTCAAACTAATGGAGTTAGCTGTGACAGAGCCTAGACAGGAAATAAGAAATGCTGTACAAATCAATTTGTTCTGTACATAATCTTTGTGTTTAGTATGGAAATACATACCTTTATAGCCACATTCTTTTAATAGATTTTCTTTTAAATTGTCAGTTTGCATATGATAAATGTTAATGAAGTCACTTTGATTTATTTTATTATCATTGTTCAGATAATCTTTAATGTTGCCTTATATGTCTGGATATACAAAAAAACTAATTGAGTTTATTTATGTAATAACATTTCTGTGTTTTTCTCATAATAATCATTTCTGTTTTCTTCTGCTGTCTTGTAGGATGGTGGCTGTTATGGTGACCTGTTTTGTAAAGCCCTGAAAACATATAACATGTTGTGTTTTGGTATTTATCGGTTACGAGACGCGCATCTAAACTCACAAAGCCAATGCACCAAGCGGTGAGTAAGTGTTCCAGCAACACCCCACCCCCTGCCCCATCACAAAGGCTCACACTTGCTCTGCTTCTTTCTAGGTATGTCATCACCAACCCACCATATGCATTCGAGCTGGTGCCCTCAGATCTGATATTCTGCCTGATGCAGTTTGACCACAATGCTGGCCAGTCTCGAACCAGCCTCTCCCACTCTTCTCACTCTTCCCACTCCTCAAGTAAAAAGAGCTCCTCCGTCCACTCTATTCCAACCACCAACCGCACCAACCGCATCAAAAGCAGGGACTCACGAGACAAACAAAAGTATGTGCCCCTCTAAAGCTGTCTGACTGTCCATGTCTGTGAACAGTGCCTGCCAGGAGTGTTGTCCTGTGTGTCCTTTGTAGGGTCCAGACAAAGTGTAACACGTCTGGTTGCCTATGTATGTTTGTATGTCTGAATGTGAATGTATGTGTCACTTGTACGTCTTAGTTTGCATTTAACAAAACAATCCAGTGCTTTTTGGTTTTCCCCCGTTAAAAAGCACTGGCCCCCTGTCTGGTAAGGATCACCAGGGCTTTTGTTTCTCCTGACTGCCGCGTGCACTGAACTTTTCCCCCACATTTCAAAATTTTCAACACAAGACTGGCAGTCGTTCAGGACAGCTTGTGAATAATTGTTTAGTTACTGAGTTTATGAGATTGCATTTGATCGTGATTCAAATACAAACCCAGTCAAAAACCTCCTGCAGTGAAAGTGATAACTGAAAAAATAAACCATATAATGGTTGAGTCAACTGCAGATGTAAAAAAGAGATTCTTCAACTAAGATTTTATGGGTGGAGTGATTAAATTGTTATTTTTTTATTTGCTGTGCACACCTGGTTTACATTATTTTCCACCATCATTATCTAAATCGTGATTACTTAATTACAGTGTACACAGGGCCAGCAAACATCTTTCAGGCTGAGGAAGTCCCATATTTGTTAAATTGTGAGAAAGGGACTTGACGGTAAAATGACTGAATGCTTTATAACAGAAAAATATGTGATACATTTAAATACAGTATGCTTTCAACTCTCGAGGAGTAATGTGCAGGACGTCTAGCTTGGCTGCATTTTTCTTGTGATAATGAAATCCCTTCTCTGGAGCCTCTTCACCTCTCTGCATTCCAAGTTTAGCCCTGCTAAAACTTGCAGTTGTTTAACTTTTATTTGAACCTGAACCTCACTGTACTTTATTTGCACTTTTAAACATGTCTTAAAAGTTCATACAATGTCTTGTCTTTAAAATATTGCACACCCTGTCCTCTTACTGCCTTTTGATTTTCATTAAAATGGTATTTATTTGATAAAATGTTGCATGCCACCATGAAGTATTATGTCAAGATACTTTGCAAGTAGAAGCTGTTAAGTTTAATAAAGTTACACCCACATTATCAATACATTGTGTTTACATATGAATGCCACATCTAATGTTGATTTTATTTTAATTCTTTTCAGCCTATTTCTTTATTTTCCCCAAGGTGTATTGGTAAATGATAATTTGTTGAGACTTTACCACAAAGTAGTTAACCAGTGATTACATAGATAATGAAGACTGAAAAATCATTTTTATATCCTGCTAGTTGGCAAGTCATGATTCAAGAGATTTAAACCTCCAGGTAGCTCACAGAACAATTGTTCCTGGTTGGATGCTCTTAAAAAAAAAAGGGGGGGGGTATTGTTATTGACTGCCTGCATCCAGTGTGTTAACCTGTAGACTGGATATAGGTGTCATTCTAAAGATGTTATGAAGATGTTCGCTCATAGATCTGCACCTTTGCGGAAATCCATTCATTAATTCTCCATACTGCTTATTCCTAGTAGGGTCTTGGGGTTGGGGTCTGAATCCCATTCCATATTTTCGGCTAGAACCGGATTACACACTGGACAACTCACCAATCCATCACAGGTCCATCTATGGTGAAATAGGTATCTGAAATATAAAGCATTAAAAAAAATAATGTTAGAATATATATGCAGGAAAAAGAAACCAAACAACTCCAGAGGCTCACAGTTCGTCTGTTTAGTAACACAGCACTATACAAAGTCTCCATCAAATTTCCCATTTTACAGAAAACACAAAGTAAAGTTGATATTAATTCTGAAATCTTGATGCCCTAAGAAAGAACACGTGAACCTGCATCTCAGTAGAATGTAACAACAGAGAGGAAACTTTTATTAAAACGCATGAATACTCAGCTGGAAATATGTTAAAAGATGTACTTGGTACCTATTAAACCATCAACTCAGTCAATTAGAAGAACTATTACCTCTAACAAAACATTTATTTATATGTATTCTGAGTCAATCAAGGGGCCAGAAAACATATAGCGTACTAGAACAGATTGAGGGGCTAAAGGACCACATCTATTATATTGATAGAATTGAATCATTCTGCATTTGTGTACATGTTTTAAAGAAACCCTGAAATGGTACATTTGCAGGTATTCTAACTTGAAAGTTGCAAACTGGAACAGATCCATCATATAGAAATACTGGTGTCATATTAAGGTTGAAGTCAAGTTATGTCAGAAAGGACATATCTCTTGTATCTCTTGTTACTGCGTATATCTTGTTACAAGTACCTAAACAGTCCATTGTTGAAGCCACTCAAAGGATGTTGCAGAAGGCAGAGGTATGCAATCTACAAGCACTTCTGGTCCTTCTGTTGAAAAAAGCTCACAAATCTCATTTGCTCAACAAACATTTCAAGCTTTTCATGGTTAGTAATCAATGCTTTTTCATTAAAAGGAACACTTATTTCACATTTTAAAAAACAATGAATCAGTTCTTTCTGTTGGTTTAATGAAATTACTTTTTTTTTTTACCTGCATGCTGCTCTATAAGTTTTCAATTCCATCTGAAATGCTGTAGCAACAAACACCCTATAGATACCCTATAGCTGCTTGATACATTCTGATCCATAATAATGGCAATTCAAGACCTTACATGACCCGTTTTCTTTTGAGTTTATCAAAACCCGCCGTTTAACCCTTGCTACTTCTATATATGTAACGACTTTGTGCAGTTTTTTTCTTTAAATTTCGCTTCTCATCATCATGCTCAGCAGGTTTTTGTCATCAATTCTCACATTGGCCATTCAGCTTACATATAGTGTACTACTTTCTTTTCCCAAGCGCAACAAGGATGAATAGAGTTGGCCAAGGTATGGACGTGAATGATTGTGCATGATTTTAAAGATTGCACTGAACATGACCATGTCCTTGCTGACATTTTGCTCTTTGAATCATAGCCAAATAGTTTCGACTGCATGGTTATAACCTATGCACCACATCTCAGTGTAGGTTTGAGCCTTGAATGTTTGTTTGTAACTAAATGGTT